TTTGTTGATATGGTAATACTTGGTCATTTAGTATTGCACAAAAATTGGTCTTTTTGTTGATATGGTAATACTTGGTCATTTATTATTGCACAAAAAGGTATTTATCTAAAAATGAAAAGAAGAGGTGTTGTACTTTGAAACTTTCACGTTTGTTGTTGTTACTGTTGCTTTTAAAAGTCACAATATACATGTATATATTCTTATCAAACGAAGAATCGTATTGTAAAGTAAAGAGTGTTATAATATCGGATCGCTTTCATACAGTTATAGGATATGTACTATTAATACACTTTGTTCCTTGTTGAACTTTATACTAGGCTATTTTTAAGTTCACTACTTAATAAAGGAAACTTACATAAACAATTTATGTTGAAGGGCCGTTACTCACCCATACTCTCTTTCTACTCAATTCTATAAAAAAAAATCGGCGGTCAAAGAATATGCACTTATGTAGCACATATAGGTTTCCAACATTATAAATAGTCCTTCCTTACTCACCAAGATGGCTTCTCCAAATTATACGACCATTTGATGTAAAATTACATTTATCGGTTTTTCGGGGTTCTCTTGATGAAGGTTTAATACATGTCAGAAAGTATAACAATAGAGAAAGATCTACGAACGGTAAATCTCCGAAAGTGTCTTAGAAATGCAGCGGAAGTAAGTATGCAGCGGAAGTAAGTATGCAGCGGAAGTAAGTATGCAGCGGAAGTAAGTTCCGGAAAAACTTCCATAAAAGGATTACACAACGAATCCACATCTTGCCAGTTTGCTTGTCTACCATCTTGACGTATAAAGGACCCACAAAATTTACTCCTCTATATGTAAATGATGGCGCCCTCTATCTATAAATATGGGTAGGGGTGGTGTGTGGTTTCTTACAAAGTTACCCCCCCCCCCACACGAATGATCCTAAATCGTGATCTCGGATCCGTGAGGATTTCCTTCACTCTTCCGTGCATTACTCTTTTATTCCATAAAACAAGAGCAGCGAAATGGAGTCAAGGATGAGGAAATATTTCACTGAATAACTAAATTCTGCGATCAGAGAATGGATCAAATTATTCGTTCCAAACCGCCCCCAATGACACAGCGGTATGTCTGCGGACTTACAACGCTAGAAACCGGGTTTCGATACCCGTAGTGGATATAGCACAGATAGCCCATTGTGTAGCTTTGTGCTTAACTTCAAACAAACGTTCCAAACCTTAAGCTGGTGGTTAGTGAGCTCGACTCGCAAACTGAGGGTCACGGGTTCGAATCCGCGTCCCATCAAACCTTAGAGGTTTTATAATGTAACGGGCAATCCCACTTTTTTGTTGGTAAAATAATTGGTGGTGTTGACTAACTGCTTCCATCTATTCTATCACTGCTAAATTAGGGACGGCTAGCGTAGCTTCGCGCGAAATGCAAACTACACTAAGTAATATTGCGCTGTCTGCGTGTACACGGCGCACGCGAATGTAGAATGAATAGATCAAAGGAATGCGTTATTATGCAAATTTAGCATTTACCAAAAATATTTAGCAATCGCTCATGTGATTTGAAATAAGAAAATACCAGTGACGTCTATGCTTTTCGAGTTTCTGCGATAAACCTCATTCAGAAATATTTTGTAAAATATCCCACACCTAGCGTATCGGGGCTGACTGTGCTGTGCCCACCACGGGCATCGAAATCCGATTTTTAGCGTCGTAAGCCTGCAGTCTTACCGCTGAGCTACTAGGGTGGGGTCTAACATATCGAAGGAAAACTATGTCGAGCATATTTTTCGGACCAATAATTTTGCAGAGATCATACTAATAATACAACTTACTAGTTCATTATTTTTAGCCGCGGCATAACGGCTCATAGAATGGTTCTGAGTTTTTTCTGTTTTTTTTTTTATATAGTACAAACTTTTAGCTCATCGCTCCGTCATCTCTTGACCGATATGAGATCTAATTACAGGTTTGGACTCAGGAGGCCAAACCCTTTCAATTGATATATTGACCACGCCCAAGGCCTCATAGATTAATTTACTCTAATACTACCTCAAAGAATTTCACGTGCCGCGGCTATTGAGGATTCCCTCTTGTTTAAGATTTACAACATTGTTGTAAAGTAACACTTCGAAAATGAGCTACTGTAATTCGAGTTATTAGACGTCACAAACACATCCTTTCTGAGTTGATATCATGTAGTGCGGAGTATTTGTTTGTTTGCTTTTAAGTACGAAGCTAAATAATGGACTATTCGGTCTGAGTTCCCTGCAAGTTTAAGCTCAAACTTTAGGGTTAACAGTCCTCAAACATTAATCGGCGAACCACTGGGGGATGGGAGCATTAACGGAATGTGTTTTTCGTTTGTATGTAGCCGTAAAAAGCAGTAGGAAGACAGTTTTAGAGTTAGATTGAACTGTTTGTTGGATTTATTTACTCTCTGTTGCATGTTCATACAGTTGAAAAACGCAGAGTAGAATAACTATGGTTTGTGAAGTACTGAAAAACACAGAGTAGAATAACTGTGGTTTGTTAAGTACTGAAAAACGCAGAGTAGAATAACCATGGTTTGTTAAGTACTGAAAAACGCAGAGTAGAATAACTATGATTTGTTAAGTACTGAAAAACAC